CAAACCTCCTGCATTCCCTCACTCTTCTTCCAGGTCAGGCTCATTTAATTTGTGTCCCTTTAGTTGGGGAACTGGCCCCAAACAGAAAACCAAAACCCCAAACCCAAGGAATGGGCAGCAGAAAGGAAAGTGACCTACTGAAAGGAAACTTGCCAGAGAGAAATTTTATATCCCTTTTCTACAATCTTTCCTTGGCATTCTCATTAACAAACCTTCCCTGCATCCTAGAATCCCTCACAGTTGATGGCAAATAGGCCTGCTGACACTCTAACAGAATTTCTCCAGAACCCAATCGCCAACTTCTTTCTGTGACATCCTCTGCTTTTTATCTGTGGTGTCCACTGTTCCAATCCTGTCTAAGATCCCTGACCCTGGACTAACATTCAAGGGTATAGATCCAGCCTTATTCCAATGCCACAATTAGCAGAGGTCTGTAGTTACCTTACCTTTCTACATACTGTAACCTGCAAATAATTAGCTTGTGCAATTCTGAATGCAGCCAATTTGAAGACACCCGGTTTATAGGTAAGTCACACCAGAATCACTCTAATAAAGCATACATGAACCTTGACTAACCCCAAGGCAGATATCTGGGAATATGTCCATGGGGACTTCTCAAGATAATACAATAAACTATAACCAGAACAATTTTTAACTTGCTTCCATCCCATTAAATTACTTTATAGGTAATAATTTTAACTAAATCTGCTCAGCAACCACATTCTACCCATATGAACAATCATAAAACCTGCCAACCCTGACTTTGGCTTGTAGTTTCAAGCTGTGATTCTGTTACAAAGGGCTTAGAGCATAGCTGTACCTTTTCAGTCTCTACAGAATGATGTATTATTGTCAATAAGATATTTAGCTTAAAACATACAGAATTCAAGATCTCTGTGACTTATGAGGGTAAGTTATGGGTAGAAAAGAAAGCAAGAAAAGCTTACAAATTAGGAGCAATTATCTGTTTGACACTGGGAAGTCAATGAATATTTTGTTACCCAAATATTGTCTGATGCAAATAAGAAAATGTAACGTTACAGGTTCTCTGTTTTTAGGTAATAGTCTTTTTATTTACTGATTTATTTATTTTTATTTTTTAAATATATTTTTATTGATTTCAGAGAGGAAGGGAGAGGGAGAGAGAGAGATAGAAACATCAATGAGAGAGGATCATTAAAAGGCTGCCTCCTGCACGCCCTCTACTGGGGATTGAGCCCGCAACCCCGGGCATGTGCCCTTGACCAGAACTGAACCTGGGACCCTTCAGTCCATAGGCTGCTGCTCCATCTGCTGAGTCAAACCAGCTAGGGCTTATTTACTGATTTATAAATTACATTTATTGGGGTGACATTGGTTAATAAAATTATATAGGTTTCAAGTGTACAATTCTATGATATATAATCTTATAGTGCATTTTATGCCCATTATCCAAAGTCAAATCTCATTCCATCATTATATGTTTGAACCCCTTTACTTTTTACTATCTCCCCACCCCCCCTTACCTCTGGTAACCACCATACTGTTGTCTGTGTCTATGAGTTTTTATTTGTTTTTCTTGTTTGTTCATTTGTTGCTTTCAGTTTTATATCCCACATATGAGTGAAATCATACAGTTCTTAGCTTTTTCTGTCTGACTTATTTGCTTAGCATGACATTCTCAAGATCTATCCATATTGTCACAAATGTCAGTATTTCATCTTTTCTTATGGCTGAGTAGTATTCCATTGTATATATGTACCACATCTTTATTGAATCATTTATTGAAGGACATTTCAGTTGTTTCAATGTCCTGGCCAACATGAATAATGCTGTAATGAATATAGAGATACATATATCTTTGCAAATACATGTTTTCAAGTTTTTTGGTTACATACCTAGGAGAGAGATTGCTGGGTCATAACTCTTTTAAATATTTTGAGAAACCTCCATACTGTTTTCCATGGGGGCTGTACCAATCTACATTCCACCAGCAATGAATGAGGGTTTCTTTTCCTCCACAACCTCTCCAACACTTGTCATTACTTACTTGTTGATAATAGCCATTCTAACAAGTGTGATGTGGTATCTCCTAGTTTTTATTTGCATTTCTTTAATAGCTAGTGAAGTTGAGAATCTTTTCATGTATCTGTTGGCCATCTGTATGTCTTCTTGAGAGAAGCATCTATTCAGGTTCCCATTTTTTAATTGGTTGGTTGTTTGGTATTGAGTTGTAGGAGTTCCTTATATACTTTGGATATTAACCCTTTGTCAGAACTATTCTTTGCAAATATCTTCTCCCATACTGTTGGTTGCCTTTTTGTTTGTTGGTGGTTTCTTCGCTGTGTAGAAGCTTTTTAGTTTGAAATAGTCTCATTCATTTATTTTTGCCTTTACTTCCCTTGCCTTTAAGGTCAAATTCATAATAATCTCTCTTACACCAAAGTCCATAAGTTTAGTACCTGTTTTCTTCTATGTAATTTGTTTCAGGTCTTATTTTTAGGTCTTTAATCCATTTTAAGTTAATTTTTGTATATAGGGACAAACAGTGATCTAGTTTTTTTGTGTTTTTTTAAAAATATATTTTATTCATTTTTTTTACAGAGAGGAAGGGAGAGGGATAGAGAGTTAAAAACATCGATGAGAGAGAAACATCGATCAGCTGCCTCCTGCACACTCCCTACTGGGGATGTGCCCACAACCAAGGTACATGCCCTTGACCGGAATCGAACCTGGGACCCTTGAGTCCGCAGGCTGACGCTCTATCCACTGAGCCAAACCGGTTAGGGCCAGTGATCTAGTTTTAATCTTTTGTATGTGGCTTTCTAATTTCCCAGCAGCATTTATTGAAGAGGATTTATTTTCTCCATTGTATGCTTTTTGGCTCCTTTGTTGAAAATTATTTCAACACATAGTTTTATTTCTGGGCTCTCAATTCTGTTCCATTGTACCAGTCTTTTTAAATTTCTGATTGCAAATGGAAAATTTCTTCAACTACACTTGTGATATAACTATATTTTTAGTGTAAATCACCAATTGTGTGCCACATATTCACTCAAAACATCAACCCTCTTAACTACTGAAAGAAATGTAACTAAGTGGGAGGGTGTCATTTCACCCTCTCCCAACTCAGTATCATATTCCTAATGAAAATATTTCCTTATTTTCAATAACTTATTCCTCATCAATTCTGTGAGAGATGAAAGCATGCTCTTTTGAGTGTATACAGGAAGATTTGCCAATTGACTTTCAACTGGTGATTTATGCTTTTTCACTAGAATATTCCTTCCTTCCTTTAACATATCTTGTTAAAAAGTTCAACTGAATTTTTTTCTAGTAGCAATGAACTTAATGTAACTCTAGTCACCAGTAAAATGCAATTGGATTATCCATCAGGATGAACATACAGTATATGTACATATACACACACACATATGCACAATGCAAACTTAAAAATCACCTCAGATCTTAAAAAATGTTTTTGAAAATAGTTTAAGTGGGATATTGGCAAAAAGTCATTTACTCCTTGTAATTTTTCTTAGGAATTATGAGTTGCCTATTAGTGCCAGAGACATAATGCAGAAATTATTATAAAAATTTCTTTGGATTTTTCTAAATCCCATTTGCCCACCTTAAAAAGAAATCGTAATTACTAATCTTTACTAATGATAAATGAGAAAGTGCATTTCCATTGCATTTTGTATTACCATAAGCCAAAAAAACTTTGATGAGTTTAAAAATATCACAGGGTATTAGGTCATAACTCATTAGTGCTTTCTAGCACAAGAATAAATAATTCACCACCCGATTTGGTATGATAGTTTTGATTCACACATGAGATATCTTATTAGCCCATGACAGAATAAAATTATTTTAAAAGGTATGTGTATAAGAATTTTCACAAATATTTGCTTTAATAATTATTTTTCTTCAAATAAGATCAGAAACCCACCACCAATCCCTCATCAAACTAAAAATTATGGAGGAAAGGAAGGAAGGAAGGAAGGAAGGAAGGAAGGAAGGAAGGGAGTAAGGAAGAGGAGAAAAGGGAGGAAGGAAAGAAGGACGGGAGGGAGGGAAGGAGAGAGGGAGGGAGGCAGTCAAGTCTTTCTCAATTTCAATAAACTCCTATCACTGAGTAAAATGTAATTTCTTCACATACTCAAAAACAGTATCTTATGATAGAGTCTGTAATTATCCCTGGAACATTAGAAAAGATAGAAGAAATTACAAGAAATGGAATTTCTGTTGATCCCAATGATGATAAACTTCTCAACTTACCCGAAAATCCTGAGTGAATTGCTTTTTTTCTCCCTAAGAAACCATCTTATGGTATTATTAGCAAAGTCTTTAAAAGCCCCAAATTGGCTGAGGCTGGGGTTTAGCTTGTGAAAAAGAAAAGTAGCAAACTAGAGTTGGGCTGGCTATAGGGACTTGCCAAATGAGTCTACAGCAGACTAAAGAGGGAAATATAAATGCAAACAGTTAACAAACTATAAAGCAACATACAAACATTATTATTATTAATGGTAACTATTAATAATAATAATAATTAATATTTTAATGCTGATCATTTTGATCCACATACCCAAAATGAAAATCAACAAATTAGTTGTCAACTACAGCTCTGCTTTGCTTAAGAGTCTTGGAAAAGGAAAGTCATCAGCTCCAAATTCTACCCTATGGGACCTAACTGAGGCTCATTGAAGCCTCAGCAATTTCTGCTCTTGGAGTAGGAGATCAAGCAAACTAAGTTTTTTTTTTCAAGTTTGGAATTACACACTTACTTCAAAACCTCAAAGAAATTATATTTTCCTTTTCTTCAGAACTGACCATAATGACTTAAGACATTTTAATTTCATTGTAATAGAGCAATTTAAACTAAAATTTTATGACTTATTTAATATTCCTTTAGAAAGACAGATTAAAAGGACGTACAAAGTTGTACATCTATCCAGTGGGTTCAAACACATAAATAAAATCTTTTCTAAAGCACAGTATTTGGACAAGTTTGGTGTTACCTCTGGTACTCCTAATTTTCGGCATGCTTCCAAAAAGTTTTCCACATTTCTTCTGCATTTGGCCATGCTAAGCTTGGGCTATAAATGCAAACATGCAAAAATAATGCATTATTAAAAGAGAAATAATTTTAATAATAACTTAAAATTTAAACTTTCTAAATGGCACAAGTAATATGTGTTTATTGGTGAAAAATTATGTATGCAATTAGAAGACAATAAAAATTTATCTATCCAAAAATGTCCACCTAGAGATAAGAACTATTATTATTTTTATTATATTTTTCCAGACATTGTATGCATACGTTTGTGTCTACAAAGACATACATATATATGTATATACATAGATATGTGTCTTATATGCAGAATTTCTGCATATATGTATATATTTATACAAGTACATACATGTATGCATATATGCAAAATTTTCTGCATATGTACATATTTGCTTGTATACATGCATTCACACACACATATTTATACACAATTTTTATGGGGCCAAACTCTTGTGTGATATACTTTAGTTCATCTAAAAATACACCTTTTCCTATCAGCAATTATATTTGTATATGAAGGGTTAAATTCAGTAGCCAATTAAACTCCTTCCCATTAAAGCAATGAATTTAATTAGAAAGAGGCAACATCAAGATAAACAGCACTGAACAAGGTGGATGTTAAGGACTTAACCAAGAGCCTCTCACAAGAGTGCTGACCCTGGCGAGGTGACTTCTGAGGTGTGTGGCATGGATAACAGGCACATCTTGATTCACACATTTTTATTTTTTACATGCTATGTTTTAAAAGCTTTACTGCTAAACTTAATGTTCCACTATTAGTTCTTTTAAAACGGGAGGCAAGAAGCATGAATAACTCCAACCGTCCACGTGTAGAAGCAATCCTATCTAATAATAGACAAACATGGTAATTGATCGTACCTTTGCTATGCCTCCCATTGGTTAATCATCGCGATATGCAAATTAACCGCCAACAAAGATGGTGGCTAATTTGCATACT